ATTTGAATTTCTGATAAACAACCCATAATTTTTAATATGACTATGTCCCATTTAGTGTTTGGGATATATGGTACTTAAATAAAAAATTATTTGTTGTTTACCTGAAATTCAAATTGAACTGAGTGTTTTGTATTTTTATGTCCCAAATCTGGCAGTCATAGTGAGGGAAACAAAAAATAAACAAAAAATGGCCTATTTGCTAATTGGTGCACTAAAAAACTAAAGTAAGGCAGTAGGTGCAGGGAATGCAGGTCGTGGTGGTGATTCCGGGGCCACCACGACCCCGGGAATGTACTAAGGGGACATTTGTAGACCTCCGATGTACATGTGGGCTGTATTTTAGATTTAAAACATGTATAGATAACATATATATAAGAAACTGTTTATAAGAATAAACAGTTCAGCAGGCCAACCCACACAAACTTGTTAAAAAGATATCGGAGCTGACCTGTAATTGGTGCCCACGAGATCTCCCTTAAGTCTAACTCCCTAAGCTGGGAGTGAGCACCCCTGAGAGTTCAGAGATGTGTGCAGAAGTACAAAAGGACCGAGGATTCTTCTAGAACATTGATTACACTTGAAGGTTTGGCCGAGAACTCTTATTTTATATTATTGTAATGAAATGCTACATTTCTATAAATTTTCAGGTAAAGAATGTTGGTTATTTTGTACCTTTCACCTTCCCCCAATTTCATGTTCATGCTCACTTGCCATTAGGAGACTAGAATGAAAAACTGCAATGAAAATTAGGGGGAAAGTAGAAACCCCATTTTCCTAAGTCTTCCCCAGAAAGCAACATCTGAAGTCCCTGTTGGCTGCCTCACTTCCAGAGAATCTTCCTCTACCAAGTGTTGTTTAGCCAATTGCTGCCAAAGCCCGTGAGGCCCTGAGGCCCCGTGGAGGGACAGCGACTCTCCACCATGACTGTCTGCAGGAAAGGAATGACTACACTCAGTCCTGCTCACCACTCCAGCCACTGAAGCCCTTCATTGTCAGTCACTATCAGGAAGAACAGCTCTGAGCACCCACTGTTTTAGAGAGGTATCAGTGACCTCACTGCGCATTTTTTAGTCTTCATTGCGCATGTGCACCAACCTCACCAACTCCGGGGATGGGAGAACCATCGTAAGAATGATGGCACCTTAAGCCCAATATCGCACTCCATCCACTGCTGTTTTTTGACAAGTGAATGTAAAATTACATTACGCTAAAAAATTTAAGCTGCGACTCATTTTCATTGGCAGAATGAAAAACAGTTGTGATCGGGCGTTGGCCAGCTGTGTTACTGCAACATGACCTACTCCCATCAGCACTCAGTTGCATAAGAAAGCTGTATTCCTTTCTACATTTAAGAACTCTTTCAGGTTGCTCCTGCATAGCAGTACCTGAAATCATTGTAAAAGCCGTGAGTGATGTTTTACATTAGAATTCTAAAGAGTGTATGGAAGGAGTGAAGGGAGGAAGAAAGAAAAGGAAAAAAAAGAAAGAAAGAAAGCAGCAAGCCATCCTTCTTGAAAGCCAGCCCAATGTAATTTTAGCTTGAATATACAAATCATCACTTGGGGATAATACACCAGGAGTAGTCATAGAATTTTAGGTACAGAAGAGGAAACCCCATCAACCTACCTGCAGTTAAGATGTTAGCTGCTGTTTCTCTTTATTCTGTCTTTGGATTGTCCTTCAGAACTTGCGAATGTGAAATGCATGCAGAAATAAATGGATAGATGACCCAACAAACAAAACTAGCTCTCCACACACACAAAACCTAACTCCCATTTTTTGTCTGTTCTTTTTTGATATATTTTCTACATATGTATGTTTTTACATTATGTAGCAATATAATATTATGACTTTATTTGGAGAAACCTCATGATAATTACATTTTGTCCTTATATATCAGAAAATATGAATATTATATATGACATATGGTTCATTCCTCATTAAGACATGCCTTTGATTTCTGTTCACTATGCCTTTTCATGAGGTATAAGAAAACTTTGTTTAAAAAATAGTTTTATAACTTCAGTTAGATGCCCTCAAGTTCTTTTTGGGTATATCTTTTTTCTCCCTCAAAAATAAGAAAAATAAGCTGTTTAGGCACAGACATCTGTCATGCCTATTTCATGCTTCTATCCCATGAAATAGTCCAGAGTAGAATGTACAGTAGATTTTCACTCAATTCAGTGTTAGTTGAATGAACTCATGCCACCAGGACCCCACCTTGGTGCTCAGAGTTACATGACATTTTAGCTTCAACATTTCTTTCTCACAACCTGGGGAACTAACCTTGAATAATAACAGAATGCTCCATAACCTTCTAAACTAAGTTTAAATATATTTTTCATGATATATTTTAATAGAAAGGTAAAATTCTGAGTCATTTTTCCTTCTTGCTTCTATCCTCCGTCGATTCATTCAGGAAACAGTTCATTTGCTTTTTAGCTTTAACATTATGTGAGACACACATTTAAATTACAAACACATGAAAAATATTTAACCTACAAGTGATAAATGTAAAATTGAGCAACATGAAGCTTTCTTTTGGGCGTATTAAAATAGCCACGAAAATGATTAAGATTGTGATCTTTAGTGCTGATGAGAGGGCACCTATACAAGCAGATAAAACTCAGAACCTTTTTGGAAAGCAAATAAGAAGTATTTCAGTGGTGTTAGTTTTAGTTAAATAGCAAAGATTAGAAATGATCTAAGTATTCAACAGTTTGGAACAGATTAAACAAATGATCAAACCTGACTTTGGTAGGTGATAATTAGGTAAACTATTCATAAGACAATCATGAATACTGTGTGAAAACAAATGTGTGATATAAAATAAAAAATCAGAGTGTCAAACTTTGTAATCAGCTTACAATTGCCTAAAAACATACGAGCATACATTTAAAAAACTAGAAGGAAACAGAAAAAATGGAAACAGTTGTGATAGGGTGATGGGATTATGGGTGCAATATTTTTTGTTTCCTTTTATGTTAAAAGATTATTTTAACAGTGCATAAAATCAAAGAAAAGAGATCAAGTTTTAGTCCCTCAATGTTCATATATTAAGGAAGATTTTATGCAGATGCCTAAGCAATGTTTCTCTTCCTTGCTTCAAAAATCTTGGCATGTGTTTTGTCTGGTTCCAGAGGCCTAACCATTTTTATTATTGTTATTCTGGCTACCATGGTTATTCTTTGAAAATCTAAACAGAATTTGTATTGTTCCATGGCAGCATCTCTTGTTCGAGTTCTGCCATGAGTTATGACATCGGTGCATCCTGTCATAGCATCTTAGGAGACAGCAGACTGGACAGTAAAATGGTGGTCCTCTTTTGGGGTGGACTTTATTTCCAAGTTTCTACTCTTTGTGATTATAGATGGCCTATCAAAATTTTCCTATGATGGCCATCATTATTCTAAGTCAACAGTTTTGCCATTTTACTAAGCAAGGTGCAAGAGTTACGATTATAGTGGAAGTTGATATAAGAAGCAGAATTTCTTCCAGAAAGTTAAGCTGTTCACAATTATAATAATCCAGTATACAGTAAGATAGTTTTTCTCTTCCATTGCAGTAAGACACCATGAGCTTCACATTGCTTTGTTTATCTGATGGGTGTACATAAATCATCTTGATAAGTAACATTTAATTCAAGTTTCTGTACATTCTTTGTAAGTGAGGAGTATGAACCAATTGCTAATGAAGATAGAAATACTTATCACCTACTCTCTCCCAATTTGTAGGTATTAACGCATCTGTTCATTCAGCAATGCATTATATTGTTAAGAACACAGCCTCTTATGCCACATCATGAGAGTTCACATCTTGGCTAAAGTTGTGGAAATCTGAAAAAAATTATTTAGCCTTTCTGTGCCTTAATTGCTTCATCTGTTAAGTAGAGCTAAAGGTAGCACTTACCTCATAGAAATTTGTGATAATTGAGTTAATGAGTGTGAAGTTCCTGGCACTTAAAATGTTATTATTATTAATGCGCATTTTTATACATGTACATGTTTATGTATATTTTTGCCAAGAGCACAAATATTAAAATGGCACAATCCCTGCCTTCCAAGTGACTTACAACCCATACTTAAATATCAACTAAGTTTGCTATGAATCTAAAACTAATCTAATAATAAAATCTGTTTTCTCAAATCAACTAAGAAGCAACTTTACTACCATTGGTGGAAGAAGAAAGTTGTCCAATAGCTGGAGCACATAGTAAAGGACTCTGAGAACATTTTTAGATGAACATGAAATTCTAGGTGCTGTAAGCTGAAGCACTGAAAGCCAGAGTATTTCTCCTTCACTTCCGGGCCCTTCAGAGTACTTCCCCTCCATGGGAAACAAGTGCTGGTTCAGAGTCCAGAAAGACGAGTATGCTTTATATTCTTACAGAAATGGAACACTTTCTAACTGAAGAGCCATCAGCTTTCTCCCACATGCCTATCACTCAATATGATACCAAGAGCCACAAGTCTGAATGGTTTATTCTAATGATTTTTACAGTGAAATTGGAAAGAGGAAACAAAGCCATTTTTACTTTAGTGTCAAATGAATTAAGTAGATGTGTGTGTTCGTCAAGATTCAGATTTGGAAATGCTCATTTGATTAAGTTTAATAATATAATGATTTAGTCTATATTTTCCTAAATAGATAAACCTCTTAAAAGGTCTCTGCCAAGAGAGTCTTATGTTTTCAGATGCCTTTTACTCATGCAACAAATATTTGTTGCCTACCATGTACCATAGTAAGTGTTCATTTCATATTGATAAGTTGCTTCGGCTTTCTTAATGGAGAAAAAAACAGAACAAAGGGACTAGCCCTGCTTTATCCTTGGTGCCTAGCACATGGAAATTTGAACCAAACACGCTAACTTGTATTTACAGTGGTAGACACTTACTTTTCATCTACTTTTAGAGCCTTATTGATGGCCATATCTTCTAATGATCTATGGAATGTACTGATTTTGTCTATTTTACTCAGCCATATCTATTTTTAATTTTGAGGGTGAGCCCGGGGTACCTGGAGCAGTGGGGCAGCATGGAATACCAGGGCCAAAGGTCAGTACAAATGAAACCAGGCAGCAGCATTTGATATAGGAGTTTTCATGGAATTGTAGCTATTACATGTTTTTTTAAACATCCCACTGATTTTACCTGCATAGAATTTCTTATAATAGTATAATATGCTTCAGTACAGAACTTTGTGACAAATGAATAAATTATGTTTGTGTTTCTTGTTAGCATCACAAATGCAGGATATGACCATCTAAAACCTACATTCTGGGATATTTAAACAACATGAGAAAGCCCATATTTCAAATGTGACTGTTGTCACTTGCCACTTAATATGAGCATATTAAAACATAGGCCATGTCCATGTGGTCTAAAATTTGCATAATATCCACATAGCCTACTAAAGATGATGTTCACAGTGCCACTCACTACAGCTTTTCCTCAAGATGCGGCCGCTGCCTCTAGCACTTACACAGCACAACCAGTTAATCAGAGAGAGAGAGCGGAATAAAGATTTGGCATGTTTAACGTGTAAAAATGGATGTAGTCAATTACTGAACAGAAAAATATGTAATGAAGATTATTTTTTTTGGATTCCAAGTTTTCTTTGTTTCTTGAAGGACAAATGAATCTGTTAAATATAAAAAGATTGGTGACAGTTTAGTTTAAACCAAACAGGCAGACAAATCCCAAATCCTTTGATGAGTGAACATCCCTTGAAGTACAAAACTAACGTCTAATCCTGTCAGCTGTGCTGGCATTTATCCATACCCACAGATGCCTGTCAGCTGATTTTCCAGATCACACTGCTATTGACAGGCGCCTAGGATGGACCTAAAATTTGTAGACCTGCCCTTTGTCCTGTAGGAGAAGAAAGAAAATACTGCTTCTGCTACTACAGCCATTCTCCTGTCTTTTCCCTCTCCTGCTCTGTGCTGAAAGGCCAGCTGATAGGAGTTCATGCTTAATGCCTGTTCTCAGTGCTATTCTTCTGTTGCCTAGCGACCCTCAGGATGGATGTTGAGCACTGAAAGGTAGCCAGAAATTCAGAAAGCCCAGGGTCAGGCTGCCTTCCAGTGAATGAGGAGTCTTGCCTCTGAACTGACTTCTAGAGTGGGTTATAATTTTTAAACACAATGATCGCCTTATAACATTTTTTAGGCAGTTTACCTCGTGACAACACTTATTTGTGCTTTTTAGAAAGGGAATATTATCATAATATGTATAATTTGCTTTAGAACCCTCCCACTCTATCCCTTTCCATTCCTGGGTGAAGTGAAAGTGAGATTCACTTCTGAGCACAATGTTTCATTTTAGTCTTTATGCAGACTGGGTCATCATTTTGAGTAAAGACATTCTCCTAAACTTACTCTGATTCTGCCATTCTAGTGTTTTTGCTGAAGGTACCAGTGCCTCCCAAAATACACCTAATTTGGAGCATGCTGGTTACCAGTAGGTTAAAGAGAGTCCATGGCATTGTGAAGGGCACCAAGTTCAGGACTGTGTCTATGGTCATGTTAGGGGAAGACAGATTGGGGAACAACATGGAGACTCTGAACCCCTGAAACAACCCATGTACCAGGGGCTGCTTGGAATAAAGATCTCATGGGAGGATGTGCTGGCCCATCTTAACGATTCTGAATTCGGGCAAAATACAAAGTCCTAGACTAAGAAACTGTCCAAGACTACACATTGAATTGCTACCACATTGTTCTCCTTAGAGTCCAAAAGCCAGTTTCAGGATGATAGTTTCAAATATCTTTCTCTAGTCTTCTTAAAGCAAAGAATTATGATTATATTTGATATTGATATCCATATCCAATTCTACAGGAAACTCACCATTTGTTTTTATATAGCAACTGTATATTGCCCCCCCAAAAAAGGTCATATGATTTATCTACTATGTTTCACATCTAATTTTGTTTGGCATTGCTTAATTAGGTGCATTATAATTTAATATGTCACCCAATCTTGGTTCTTTTGACCAGGGAGAACCTGGAGAACGAGGAGAAAAGGTGAGATTATTCTGCCTACATTTGTCTCTTTTCCCCCAAAGATCTATATATAAGTATGGATAGATGGATTTAGGTATAGATATATATTAAATATAGATATAATGACCACTGTTGTTTTTCTTTTCAACTTAATTAGTGGAAGGAGAAAATAGTGTGATTCTTCTGTATGGATAGAAGTTCTTTTAAAAGTTTAAAGAAATGGAGAGAAAAGGAGCAAGTTTAAACATTCTGTGTCTGGATTTTAAATGGCTTTCAGAACTCGCCAGGCCTGCAGAATTTCTGCTCTCCCTGCCTGCTAATGCCACTCCAGCGCTTTTCTAAGCATCCACGTCTCTCCGCTGCTGCTTCTTAGGTCACTGAGTTAAAGGGATACAGATGTTTACTGCAGTGAATATACTGAGAGTTGCCCACAAAGAATTCACATAAAAACCAAAAAGAGAATCAAAAAAAAGAAGAGAGCCATATGTTAAATTTCTCTTAGCCAGCCTTCCTTACTACCTTTGGGCATGTCCTGATTACTTTTAGACTTCCAGTGCATTCTTTAGTGCTAACTTTCCTGGTTCTCATGCTACTTAATAGTGTCTAAGAAATGTGCTGTCTGCATAGGCAACTTCCAAGATACCACATAGTGCTCTTCTTAAGTGATCTGATCTTTCTGACAAAACAGTATTATCACCTCTAATCCCAAGAGAAGTATGTCTAAATATCTCGCAAACATATTGAATGTAACTGTAATTTGGGGCATTGTGAAACAAAAAGGAAAAAGGCCGTTACTTACATGGAAGGAGAGCAAACCAGAGGGGCGGTCAGACCCTTTGTTTCCTGACTGCTCTGAGCAGTTTTCCTAATGAGAAAGTTTGTTTCCTTTGTTTTTTTTTTAAGCTTTATTATTATGTTTTATTCATCAGCAAGTAGTTGCTTATTAATAACCTGATAGCTCTCCACAGAAAAATATTATTCCTGATCCACTATATAATCACTGTAGACAACTGGCATAAAGTAGAATACCAGAAAGTTAGTACTTTGTTTTTTAATAAATGAATTTATAAGCAATTAAGAAAAAAGTGTGCTGCCAAGTTCCTATCAAAGGTCCCTCATAACAGATTATCTGTGCTTTTACTTGGCACCCAACCAGCTCATGGTAATTAACTTGAAATTAATTAGTCACCAGATGACTCTTTAGTGTGGACACTAAGGAGGAAAAAGGGGCAGTGCCAGCCCCGTCAGGACTGCTCGGCAAAGTGGCTCGGGCTCCTGGGCTGCTGCTGGGCGTCCCTCACAGAGACAGCGGCCTCAGGGTGGCTTCATGCTTATGAAACAAGAGAAGGAAATAGAGAGAAAGAAGAGAATGTCTTCCTCCCTCACCCTCCTTCTTTCAGGGAAACAGTTATCAATAGTTCCTCCTCTTATCTTAAGGAAATTGTTAAGTGAGTGAGAAGTGACCTCTTATGAAGGAGACAGAAAGGCGTTGCAGCTCAGGGAATAGAAGAACAATAATGCGCTGTTGTTGCTAACAGCTCTCATTTCCAGTGAACGTGACAGACATTACTGTCTCTGTTGCTTTCTACTCAATATATTGTTTACTTCTTACGATCCCATAAAGCATTCTTGCCCTTATTTTACACATGAAAAATAGGATGCAAAGAAAATTTCATTTGCCCAGTAGGTGCTGGAGCTAGGCTTGGTTTCTCTGGCTCCAAATCAGTGATGTTTCCACCATAACATGCTATGAGCCTTAAAGAATTCAGAATTTAAGGAAGCAAAACATGGGTAATAAACATGGGTAATTTTTCTAATGCATTGCTTTGTGAGAGAAAGGAGATGTTATTAAGGGAATAAGCATAGGAAATATTGAAAATAACCAAGGAAACATAAATTCCCCAATGTATGATTTTTAAAAAGCAGTTTTCTAATAAAATATAAAACATTCATTTCACAAATGCAAAACGTGCAGGTACAGATAAATACTCAGGGCACAGGCTTGGAGGGCTGGATCATGTACTCTGAGGCCCTGGAGATTTGAGATGGGCCTGAAGACCCAAGTAGGGTTTATACAGATCAAAGGGAAAGGAGAAAGCAGGGGTCCAGGTGGCAGAAATGGATCCAGAGGTGTCAAGGTATGTGGCATATTGAGGGAATGGTCAGGAGAAAGTTTTCATTATCGTGGAGTTCTGAGCAGAGGAGAAAAGAGATATAGGGTTAAGGAGGCTGTAGATGCCAGGATAAGCTATTAGGTATCAGAGAAACTGCTGCTTTCCGTTAATATCATGGAGTAGTTTAAACCTGTTCAGCCATGTTCATTGTAATAAAATGTATTTGGACCTGTGATATCAGGCAGCTGGTCAAGTAAGAGAACATTAGCTTTGTACAACATTTGCAACAGATTTTGACATATAGTGCTTATGAAAGAAAACTTAAAACTCTTTGCACAATATTGACAGAGACACTGGCCCACAGTGACCACAGCATTATAGATGAGATGAAATAAATTCACGTGGACTACCGAGTCCTGTGGAGGAAAAGAGATGGTGAGACTTTTCTCTCAAGGGGAGAGCAAGCCTCAGAGTGCCTTGGCCACCCTCTCAAGAGGAGAGCGCCCTGGTCGTTGCCTTGAGAGGCTTTTATTGGATTCAGTTTGCATAGGAATACAGGGTGTATACATAAAGCTCATTAATCATTATCAGGCAGTAAGGATCAAACAATAGATAACATACAGAGAACTCTGAGGGCCTATTTTGAGTCAGGGTCAGATAAATGGTCAAAACTTTGGGGAACAAACTCACTTCCTGTTTGGACCCTTATCATTTAATTGAGAGCGTCCTAAACAAAGCAGGTTTCACGGGATTTTACATATTCTTTCTTAGGTCTGATCTCCCTAGGGAACCTGCCCTTTCCAGCACAGGGCAGCACCTACCACCAGCATTGTTTCAGGCTTAAGTCAGGCAGGGGAAGAAATTAGGAGACTTCTTGCAGACAGAATGAGAACTCAGGCTGTGTCAAAGCTAAGGGGCAAGGGTCCATTACCCCTTTTCTGTAGCCCTCAAGTCCTTCTTTGGGGGCCCCCATGATCATGCCTGTCTTAGATCGTCCCTCCCTTAAGGAATCTTACCCATCATTAGCCAACTGATCAAGCATTGGGGGCCAGGCAGGGTGAAGTAAAAGGAGGAGAGGCAACACCTCTGCCAGGGAAATAAGCTTTGTCTCCTTAGTGGCTTAGGGTTCAAAGGTCACTCACTCAGCCTTAGCCATGGGGGGTTACAGCTCCTGAAACCAGGCAGGGCAGTTCCCAACACAATATGGTTTATACATATGTCTTTTTTCCTCTCTTAGGGTGATACTGGCGAGAGTGGCCCCAAAGGTGATGCAGGCGAAAAGGTACAGTGGTATAAAGTATGAAAGGGTATGTGTATGAGCAAGAAATAGTGTTCTGTGTATATGAAAATGGGAGATTTTGAGAGAGGTGAATGAATGGTAGTAGCTTTGTTTGACTAGAAAAGATAATTCTGCAAGTTGAGAAAACATTTAAATATTTAATTTATAAAAGGTGATTATCCCACAAGCTCCTAGTGACAAATTTAATTATTTTAAACACAAAATGGCATGTTACAAATTTTAGAAAATGTGTAAGTAGGTTTCTAGTAATATGCCTTCCAAGGAGTAAAAACATTTCTGTATAAATGACCCACTCCCTTTATATGCAGAGACACATAAATGGAATTTCTAAAGTGATTCTATGTGTCCCACTGTCAGGAGAGAACACATCAGAGGATTGGGGTGGGATTTAAAAGTTTAAAAGTAAATGTCACTTGATTGGATTATCAGATACACTCTAGAAGATGTGCCTCTATTTGAAGTCTACTAAGTCCAAATGTTTTGTCAGCCCTTGTTCTGTCATTATGTTTGATCTTTTAACCCGTTATTTATATGCCAGTGGTCTTGTGGCTCATCTTCCCGCCTCCTCTCTTTCCCCAGATCTATCCTTAAAAGGTCTTTTAAGAAACTGAGAATAGAATAGTCAGTCATAATTTAAGTCAACCTAAGTAATTGAGTAGTAAAAAAAATGGAATTTTTTCGATGTAGGCTTATAGTTCAAATAAGGATCTTCTACTTTGAAAGTTATTACAGTACAGATGGATAATGGCTAGTCATAAAAAACATAGACATAAAATAAAGAGAAATTTTATCTTTCTCATTCTTATAAATATTAATATAAATATGGCATGATGGTAGGAACGAATTAATGTTGCCAAGTAGCAGTGGTGTTTGTATCCCAGGAGCAGTGGGCAGTTCAGGTGGGCTGTCAGTCTCCTGCGGACCAGGGTCCCAGCGCAGCACCGCTGATGTGTAGGACTGGGTCACCGCTGTGGGGGCTGGTGGTCATTGAGCATCGCTCCTGGCCTCTGCCCTCTGCATGCCAGTGGCACCCTTGAGTTGTGACAACCAAACCTTTCTCAAGATATTGTCAAATGTCCCCTGAGTAACAAAATCACCCCCAGTTGAGAACCGCTGCTGTAGACCCATTCTATTTACCTACCAAATTTAAGTACCATGGTGAATTCAAATATGGCATGAATGTGTTTAATACTAATGAGAACAATATACCTCGATCACTGTCAAAGTCAAAATGTCAGACCCCAGATATATAAACCTGGATATTTAACTTTTCTATTTTTCTTAGAAGCAGAAGTTAACAAACTTTCCTTGTAAAGGACCAGAAAATAAGTATTTTAGGCTGTGTGGACCATACAGCCTCTGTCACAACTATGCAACTCTGTCGTTGCAGCGTGACAGCGCCCATAAATGATACACACACAAACGAGTGTGGCTGTGTGCTGCAAAACTTTATCTCGGGTGCTGAAATGTTAATTTTGTGTAATGTTCATGTGTCACGAAATATTACTGTTGATCTTTTTTAACCATGTAAAATATAAAAGCCATTCTTAGATTTTGTGCTGCCCATTCACGGGTGACACAGAAACTGCATGTAGCTGATTCAGCCAGTGGGCCATAGTTGCCAACCTCTGCTTAAAGAAAGGAACTCTTCTACACTGAGAGCAGTTTCTTTAAGTTATACACACACACACACACACGTACACACGTATGTATATGTATATATGTGTGTATATATATATATATGAAGTCTGAATTATGCCTCTGTGAACTTATGTAGAGAATTTTATGCTTCAGAAGCTGTATTTTTAAAGCTTCATTTTTGGAATGTAAGCCAATAATTGTTTCTTTAATCACACATTTTAAAAATTTAATTTTCCAAAAGTAAAGCAATTTTTTTCTTTTACAAGACCAAGTTCATCTCAGAGGGATACTGCTCTTATTTTTTATATTAATGCAAATCATTTACCATACTGACTCACACATAGTAAACCCTCAATAAATGTTAGCTTTCTTACCACATGGAAATTGAAATCAACTGGATTCTTTGTTTTCCTTTTTTATCAAAAAGTTTTATTAGTCAACTGAAATTAAGTACAAGAAATGCTTCAGTTAAAACGGAAATCATTTCTATAAACTTTCAATGGGCCTAAGCAGGGAATTGTAAATAGGAATCTGCAGCGTATAATATGTAATCTGACCCACAGCATTCATCCCCGGGAATGCTATAATTGGAATATAATTTTTGATGTGTTTTTTAAAACATTTCCTGCTTCTGTCACATAATTTGTTTCCAGCATGTTGGAAATGCTCTTTTCATGGCCTTTGGGTTTAGTATGTGAAACTAATTCATCATTTACCAAGTTGGAGATGTAAAATCAAAAAATGCTTCTTCTCTGTCATTGATGTAGTAAAAATTACATCATTGACTGATCCAATTTAATAGCGTTTTTTTTCCTTTTGATGCAACTCGGTGCCTTTGAATGGTAAAGCAATCTAAGCCTTTCCAGACTGGTCATCTGGAAATGCTGTGCAACCGTAAAAACCACTGGCCAGTGAGAACAGCGCACTCGAGGGTTCAGAATGACCTTCCAGAAACTGCTTTCAGTCATGTATGGAGTCACTGTGGAAGGGTTAGTTCTGCTCTTCGGACTATTGGTCCCACCCGCGAGTATAGAAATGGGTTTCTTACCTGTTTCTTGCACTTGAAAGTAGATGTTTGTGCAGGGCACTTGGTGGTTTGGACAGGCCACTTTTTTGTTTATAATTTTATCTGTTGATTCAGAAGCTTCACTCTCACTGTCTTGGTATTACTTGTCTGTGCCTTCATTTCCCTTGTTCCCCCATCTTCATTCCTAAGAATACACTGCATCCTTAGTTTATGGCTATAGATCATCTTTGATTTACATCCTCTGAGCCTCTGCAGAAGCCACACCCATACATGGGACCACCAAGCAAATTATCCTCTTAAAATCACATGAGAAGGGCTCTCAGTGGGTGCTTTCACCCCAGTCAGTGCAGAGTCCTCTCTAACTTACACATATGATTCCTTTAGCTTAGAACACTCTTGCTCCACCCACCTCCACCTTCTAACCCTGTTCTGTAGTGAACTGAAACCTGATTTTATGACATTTCCCTGGAACAGCCTTTCAGTCTGCAGAGTTGGTTACGTTACCTGCTATATTTTCCCACAGCCCTCCTCATGAGCCCTTTCATAACCTGTATTACGATTTATTGTAATTCTTTGTTTAATTGGACATCCAGTTCACCGAAAAAGAAAAAAACAAAACACTGTATGATATCAAACTACCCTATTTCTAACACCAGTCCAAGTTCCTGGAAGACAACAAATATTTATTAAATGAAAAATCATTACATTTTTTTTCTTTCTACTTTCAACTGTTTCTTATTTTCACCGAACAGTTTAACTTCTTCATTTACCATGCACGTGCTGAGCGTGTCTTCTGTGTATATACAATGACACAGAATTTTCAAAACATGAGAACCTCTTCCTGTCCCAGGTTTTTCTTAATGAAAAGAAAGTATCTTTCATGCTTTCAGTCAGTGATACTTTTGTATACTTGTATAAGTAAATGATTATCATACTCACAGGACAAGGGCGGGGATTACAGCTACATTGTTGACGGTTGTCTTCCAACCCCTAGCACCCCTGCATTCAGAATCTGGCTGGTACTCAGTAAATACTTATTGAACAAATTAGTGAATGATAGAAATATGGCCATATTCACTTTATATAGCCACATAGACTTCATTAACACATACATACGAGGACTGTCCAGAAAATATCTGGCTATGTAATATGAAAAATAGAGACATTTATTGAAGAAGATACAAGAAACACTGTACACAGGACAATGGTGCCCTAGTCTCCTGCAAAGTAGGCACCTTGGGGCCTCACACAATTCTCCTAATTGCCATCAGCTGCCCCATCGTGTTTCCTGAATCTCGTCAATGGTCTGAAATCTTTTCCCTTTTAATGGTGATTTAGTTTTGGGAAAAGCCAGAAGTTTCAGGGAGCCAGATCTAGGCTGTAGGAGTTCTGAGTCACCTAGGTAATTTGATGTTTCACCAAAAACTCTGTAGGAGAAGGGATACATGTGCGGGCACATTGTTGTGGTAAAGCTGCCAATCACCAGTTGCCCATAGGTATGGCCTTCTGAATCATCTGAATAGTTTCCACAGAGAAATGTATTTTAAAGCTTCACACAAAATTTGATGCAGATTCATTGCTCTACTCACTCAGTCATTTTGAGTGCCATGGCCACATAGTACACATGCTTATTCAACAGCGTCTACCCCTCCCACTGACTAGTACAGTGAAGTCATCATTGTTCACACATGTACATTCCAGTCCACTCTCCTGGGCTACCAGGTTATACTGATGGCATGCAAACCATTCTCATTATGTTAACAATGGCTAGACTTTTTTCGGACAGACCTCACAATATAATTATATTCCAAGTTTTGTGTTTGAAAATGATCACAGCTAAAAAGGGAACTTTCCGTGCTTGAATGATAAATAGTAATGTCAAATTCATTTACTTCAAGTATCTTCTCAAAGTATTTTTTCCCATTTATAATTTACCCTGTAAAAACTTTTATTTCCAAACCAGCTGATTTATGCAGCCAAGAGTATACTTAAGACACTGTGGCTTTTTTTCCTACTTTAATCCTGTATTCATTTTCACTGTTTGTGGAATGGGAATTATAAACACTGACTTTTATTTCCACTTCTTGCAGCATTATCCTTTAATATGTTTAACTTATGAATGCCTTCCAGCAGTTGCTTTTCCACTTAAAAGTTATAAAAATTCTTTGAGATTTCACAGTTCTAATTTTTTAAAAAGAGAATTAAAATATCACTCATAGTTGTCCATCAAATGGCTTCAATTTGCACAAATCAGCCTTTCAGGAAATTGTCTTTTTTTCCCACCCACTTTCTATGAGAACTGAATCTAGTCTTCATTCTCATTAGTGGGTTATCTAGCCACTGTCTGTTAAATCACTGAAAAAAACATTTTTAAACCACAGTTCATACAAGCAACTGCCTCTATTTATAATTTTACTACAATCTTTATGTCCTGTTGTCAAAATGAAATAAACCAATAATTCTTTTCTTATGATGAAAGAGTCTAGGGAGTCCAGAATTCACTTAACCTCTAGTTGCTTCGATTCCCTCATCTATTAGATGAAAACAGTAATATCTGCCCTAAGTCCTGGGAGGTTTGTGAGGTATAAATGAGATGAAAGAAGGGACTTGGCCGAGTTGAAATTGCTTCTATGAATATAAAGGTCTTGTTGTGCAGAATCTTGCAAACTTGATTCATTGGTGTCTGTGGCTTTCAGACTTGATTCAGTAGAAACAGAAGTACTATCTTGTTAGTCATATTTATTTTACTTCTCATGTGGAACTAGATTGTGAATGCGTGGGAAGAGAGATAAGTGTCATTCTACCATATTTTGGGTCCTCCTCTTTATGTCTCATCATGTTTTAATTTTCCCTTGGATAATAATAATTACAGATGTCAAAGAACCTCACATATATGTCAGTTTCTTCATAAGCTAATTTACTATTTCCTTATCTTTCCTAAGCTTTTTATTTTCTTAGTAAAGTTTTGTTTTTAAATTTTGATCCTTGACTTCTAACTTGCTTAAAACATTCTTTTTGAGATTTGTTCATTCACCATATATGTATGTATCAAGTATATACTATGGGCCAGTCACTGAATAAAAATAGACACTGAGCCCTGGCTGGTGTGGTTCAGTGGACTGAGTGCCAGCCTGTGAACTGCAACATCACTGGTTTGATTCCCAGTCAGGGCATATGCCTGGGTAGCAAGCCAGGTGCCCAGTTGGGGGTATGCGAGAGGCAACTGATCAATGTATCTTGCACATTGATGTTTCTCTTCCTCTCTTTCTTCATCCTTTCCCTTCTCTCTAAAAATAAATAAATAAAGTCTTTAATAAAACAATTCAGTGCTCACCATCCATAAACAAAAAAATATGGGCATACAAAGAATAGGAAGAAAACATAAATAAACGCATAATTACATAGTAAGCTATGCTACGCAGTGCAATGTGAGTGTGAGGGTCATGTGTCTAGGTTGGTTGGTTGGTGGAGGGTTATTTGAGGCAAAGCCACTCAGCCAAGATCTGAAGAAAGAGGAGGTGCCAGCCATAAGAAGAGGTGACAGGGGGAAAGACTCAAGGGACTAGTACAGGGACAGGGACTCCATGTATGGAAGCCTGAGGCCTTATCTCTCTCTAAATGAGACTGATGAGCAGCTTCCTAAATCCGGAACAAGGAAACAGACCCCAGGAGCTGCTGGAGCACTTGCACAGATGTGACAGCCAAGGAGATCCCAATAGGAGATGCTTGCTCCTTGTGGCTATTTCTGTTTTCTTGACAGTCTCAGAAAACTCAGTGTTCTCCCTTTATGTTCATGGGATGGAGACCTGTAAGGAGCTTGCAAATGCTGGCCTTTTGCTGGACTGATTTTAGGGAAAAAAAGCAGCATTCTCAACTATCCCACACTCTTTTCCACTTGGCCCTCTCTACTCACATAGAACACATTTGCTCTCGAAATGTAGCCGGCCTCTATGAAATGCAGATGGAATACAGTGCCTCTTAGAAAACCAGATTCTATCTCGAGATTTTCTCTCAGACCTCACTTGTATCTCCATCACCCGCAAGTCATTCATCATCCTGTAACTTTCCGGTGACTGTCTTACAATGAAATAAGTGTGAAGCTCGAGACAACGCGCCAGCCCTGGCTGGGACAGCACTTCACGAGGAAGACAAGCTGGCCCGCTGCGTGGCTTTTTCCAGCTCAGCGTCATTAACCCTTGACTTCATCTGTTGAACCCTGACTTTCTGAAGAATGAAGGGTCAGGGAACTCCCACTAAATGATAGCCACTGACTTTAATAAATTCCAGAAATAGAGAAAACCACAATTCCAGATCCCCAAATTATAGCTTACTGCTTTAGAACACAATTTTAGCAGTGTGTGAAGGGAAAGGTCTGTATTTATATATTTGTATTTATTTCAGAGACTATAATAGTCCTTACATATTTTGCACTCAAAGTAAACCCATGTTTTTAGAAAGTACATTGTTTATCTTGGAAATTGTTTGTATCTTAACAGCTGACAGATTGATACACAGTCTTAGGGAGCCTAGTTAAGCCCATTAGTCATGGGGTTCCCTTGAGTGCCCCTGTCAATAATGACTGTCTGTGTGATTGTGTGTTTCCTATTTCCATAATTTGTGGAATAATCTCTCATGGGTTTCATTTTAGGGGGACCCTGGATCATCTGCTGCTGGAATTAAGGTAACTCTGGCCTTGAAAGAGTTTGTACCACAGAAGATACAGTTTTGTTTTTCATAAGCCTCTGCTTTCTCTTCCCTTTTACCAACTTGGAGGGTTATGACTCTGTTCCTGTTCTCTTGCAATAATCAGCTTCCAAACACAATAGGAAGGAGCGGTTGGAAATCTGATAGAGGCTTAAATAAGGTCTTGCCTACTCTTCCCTTTCTGATTGGTTTTTATGGAAATGTGAATGATTATGTGAGCTTTAGGTATATCCACCACAAAAATTTGTTTTGCTGTGTCTAATGCGATGTAGAGTAACAGAATAAAGTAAATAAAATATATGCAATCGAGGAGGCTGGGCCATCTCTGTGCGAGTGTGCAGAGGCCTAAGGGTTTTGGAAAATTCTTGTAAGACTATCCTTTTCATCTTTGGTTTCTTTGGCCAGGGAGAACCTGGAGAATCTGGTCGTCCAGGGCAAAAGGTAACATCTTTATTTTAGTGTGTCTTTGCACTGTCTCATATCACCTGTGTCATATGAAAGCAATTATTGGAAAATGATGTCGTTTTCCTGCTTTGCATGCTGAGTGTTGTTGATTGTTTTGTGTTTTAAAAGGGATGATGCTGACCATAACAAAAGTGAAAACACACTCTGTGCACATAAAAGGATGCTACGAACTAAAATCTGCATATACCAAGCTGTTTGAGACTAACAAAGCCCAGTTGGCTTGGAATGCAATAACTTATCTTGCATGTTTAAAGATACTCTGCATGCTTCTGTCTTTCATGAGAAGAAATGAATACTCACTAAATGGTCTCAGTAGGAAGGATGGGCAGTTCTTTTACAATTATATTCCTTTTTCTTTCACTTAAAATACTTCCCTGCTGATAATTTTTCTGCAAATAATATCTATATGTGCAATGAATGTTTAGTCATACAAAGGGGTTTGTTCGCAAAGTGAAATTTAATTATAGATACTAACCAAACCACTTTAACTGATCTATAGGTACATATATAAACTTATTTTTACCATTTGTATTTCACTTCAATGATAAATTGGAGGACATGCAGTGCATATGTTTGGATTTGTGTTCTTTGAGTCTGAGGCAGGAGACAACTGTTCTCACTGGAGCATCTGGATATCAATGCCCAGTGCAGTCGGATTTGAAATAACAGATGTATTGTAGCTAACAGATCCATGTGAATTCCACACTAGGTTAAATCTCTGAAGATCATGACCCTGCCTTCGTCCAGCAGTAGCTGATGTTTTAGGGGGGAAAATGAATAGAAACATAGACTTTACCTCACTAGTGTACAGGGAAAGAGAGAATCTATTCCTTTGTCATAGTTTGGAACCATAAAACATGACAAAATATAGTTCCCACATTCTCGAAGTCACTGCAAAGATCATTGCTTTGTTTTGAACACTTAGGACTAAAGTAATTTTGAGGTCTTTCACATTCTTTAAATATTTCTCTAGTTTAAAAATAGATTTTCTACTTGAAACTAAGAATATAAGAATAACAATTCATCAGGACCAGTTTCAGGCAAAGTCAAGACTTTTCCAATGAGTACAGCAGAATGGTGGAAATTTTGCTGTTTAATTCCTAAGATTTCCTACTGATTCTTTACTTGAAAACTTGAAATTAGTGATATCATCCTACCAGAAATCCATGGTGTGCTTTGGTTTGAAAAAACAACTAATCTCAGATGATCTAATTTCAGGTCCCTTAGTAAAACTTAAAGGCTGAATTTAAGCTGAGTGTTTAATTCTGGAATACTCTAAAAGAAATGTCTGCAACACTGTTGTGTCTTTAAAAACAAAACAAAACAGATCTGCTCTGATCTCACACAGCTCCACTGTTTTTAAAGTGGAGGGTCTAAATTGGTTTTCAATTGCTTAATAAAACTTTGCCTTATCATGATTATTTAGAAATATACTTTAGATTCATTTCTGAAAGTTTGTGGGTTTACACATGGAAACCTTGAATTTCTTTCATATTTCATTAAACACCTGTTTTAAATTATACTGAGAAAGACTTACAATCAATCTGAATAAACATGCACCCTGAAATGAGCGGCATCTTTTCCATGAATATTTAGGGCAGATTCTACCCTCTGAAGCAGTCTCACTTTCCCACAATATTTATGACTTCCTTTGTCTGATATCTGGGTTTGGCAATACTTACCCAACGTTGATTTAAATGTAGAGCATGTCCAGGCTTGCTTGCTCACTCAGATTAGAAAATGACAAACGGAAGTGACTGCAAAGTCAACTCAACAGATCTTTCATGGCTGTTTTCTCACCATTGCAAAACTGTGTTGTGGATTCACTGGCACTTAAGCTCTTGCGTTAGGGACATTCCCAGAAAAGTAGAGGATGAAAACCCTATTGCTCAGTTTCCACTGCCTGGTACTCTGTAGTATGAAGGTTTGTTCTTTAGAGTACCATTCGTAATGTAGACTTGATTTCATTATAGGTTTTTTGCTTCTACAAACTGAACAGTAGAGTGTATGACTAATACATGAGTTAGAGTGTGTGTATATGTTTGTAAAGTTTGTAGATGTATAAAAGATACTGTTTTTCACCACAAAATTCTTCCCTTCCTAACTTCTCCATCATCTTTTAAAATAGTTTAAATTTTTTAAAAAAATTTAATTATAAATTTTTTATAATTAAAAAAATTTTAATTTTTTTAAATTAAAATTTAAATAATTTAATTTAAATTTTAATTTTAAATTTTAAATTAAATAATTTAATTTATTTAATTAAATAAATAAACCACTCGGTCCCCATTGCAAGGGGCCCTCACAGTTGAACTACACCTAGAAGGACAGTGCACCATCACAGGGACATAGAAGGACAGCAGAGTTCCAGCTTTGGCAGCAAAGTGTCCCCTCATGGAGGGTAGAGAGTGAAAGGGAAAGGAAAGTGGAAGTATCATGTATCTGTGTGAAGTTTAATGCACTTGGATAAGTCTCCTTCAAATAGAATAGCAAAGTACTTAATTATGACCCAGATCTGACCATGGACTCTGTATGACCGAAAACTCAACTCAGAGAAGCTCCTCAACCAAGGAGTAGGCAAGAATGGAGGAATTAACTGACTTACGATTAATTGGAAGATAAGCCTTCATGGTATAAAGATAGAAATTTTACATGGGAAGAAATATCTTCTTAAAAATCTCAAGAGATAGATGTTCCACAAAGGATAACATGAAATATTTTGTAAGGTTTTATTATATCACCTTTCAAGTAAACATAAATTTGGAAATGTCAAATTTATAAAAATATGAGTCTGAAATATTAATTCCTGAAACACTTGTTCATTAATAAGTATACTTATTGTAACCTCTATACATACATATGTACACACATGCATAGTATAGCACAGGGAACAACTATTATAAATGATCAAAGTCTCTAAGTATTCACTTTACTTCACAAAGGGTTCCATCTCATACATCTTTCTCACTGTTGGAAAACCTGGGTGTGTGTCTGTGTATGCTTGTGCCTGTCTTGCTTCAATCAGTCATGTGATCTTTCTAATTTGGTCAGATGGGAGGGTGTGGTGAGAACTCCTGTTGGGGAAGGGTTACGGCTTATGTTTCAGGTAGGGTGTTCTGAGTGTTAGGGGACTTTTTAAAAACAACACAAAACTATAGATTTGACACCTCTACATTTACTCTTTTATGGTTGTATATCTACTACAATTTAGTATTTTCCAGAGCCTCATACTTTTTTGAAAGTAAAAGAGAGTCCTCAGTAAAATATAAATGCAAACCCTTTTGACTAGATCTCCCTAAATTGATTGATTGAAGGGAAAAGTGGGAAGAAAAAAAGAAAATCAAAGGTATAATGTTGTATCTGTATGAAGTTTAGTTTACTGGGACAAATAGTATTTCAAAGAAATATCAAATTCTTAGTGATCATCCTTTCTTCTCTGGTTTAATCTCATCTCAGCGTTACTGTTCACAGTGCCAGCTTTCACTGATAGTTCCAGACAGGATCACTTTTCTTTTGCATTCCTGAAGCACCTTTGACCCAAACCATCAGGAAAGTCATTGTCCTTTCTGTGTCTAACCATATGGCTTAGTGAACAGCATATGAAGCCACTTAGGGATAATTAATACTAGAGCAAGATATGACTCTTTATAATTTAGAAGAAATAATGTTAAATAATGAAATGTCTGGTTGTCTGCAGTTGATTTTCTTTGAAATGAAGGTTATTAGAGCATTTAGATGAGAAGAGATGCTGCCATCCACCACTTTTGTGGTTAGTTTGATGCTCCTATCTCGTCCAGTAGAGCTGTCATCCTGCTGACTGACCGTCGAGAGAATGTGTAACCCTTTTACCTTCCAATGTTACTTCCGCAAATAGTCACCTCAGTCCGACACAGGATGGACTTTCATTTTCTCCAGCGATTCCATTATGCTTCTTTAGTGGAATTCAGGAGATTTTCTAAGTAATATAACCTCTTGTCACTATACTTTGTACTTAAAATAATGTAGACTGTTCTGTGAAAATGAGAAGGTTTATCATGACTCCAGTGTGCTCACCCAGAATGTCCCACTTAATCTCAAACCTGGATTCAGGAACAGCTGCATGGGACCATTAGCCCTAAATTGCTAGGCAGGTTTACCCAGATTCAACGATTGTCAGAAATATGGGCTGGAGTTAAGTATAATATTAACCATGCATTTATCTTCTCATCATTCAGGAATGGAAAAGAAATCTTACCATACTTTTAAGTGAGCACGACTTTTAATGTATATTGTTTTGATGTAACCATCTGTTCATACAGCCAACTCTTGATTATCTAAGGTAAGAGACCACTGGATTAGGAGGCATTACTGAGATTCACACATAATCCTCATTTTAACAAAGAGCTTCAGCCTCCCTAGCAAATCATTTACCAAGAAGTAATAAAATATGGGGATTCATTCTCCTTTTACTTCTCTTTCTTGCCTTCTGGTAGAAATGCCAATGAGCAGTGAACTGGCAGGAAAGGGGAAAGTCCTCAAAAATCTGCAAAATGGTCAACCAATTTCTGAATCAAGAGTTGACTGAACTGCATCATCTCACCAAACTTCTTAAAACAAGACAGTATATATATAGATGGCAACTTTTCAGCTAGGAGCATTTGCCATGCTTTCTCCAGAGACTGTGCCTGAGTGAATATTATTCTATAATGTTGTGTGATTTTCCTGTGTAGGGTGAACCAGGGCTTCCTGGGCTTCCTGGACTTCCGGGGATAAAGGTAAATACTGCACTGACAGTCTTGGCTTCACAGAACTATAATTGTGAGAGTCACAAAAACCACAGGAAGACAAGGGGGAAAATGAAAACTAAAAATATAGCTCTCTTCCTTAAATACTCACCAGCCATCTCAACCAATTAAATTTTTGGATTAAATACCACAGGTATTTTTCAAAGCTTTCCATTACTATCTGGACTATATATTATGCTATGTAACCTAATATGCCCCTTAATTAAGTAAATATAAAAACTACTTCATTTGAAGTTATAGGAATTCTTTAAAGTCTGGAATGTCTACCTTAACATTTAGTTTTAGTCTTAAGATCTTATCAGATTTTTACTAGAATCAGAGTCTTCACATCCCCATAAATATAACATTTAGGCAGCTGTTTTTATGATTCACCCCTTACAATAATCCCCCTAAAATGTTTTGCGCTTCTACTTTCTGTCAATAATTCTCACTGGAAAGTGTAAATCATTTTACAAAACTGTTTTGAGCCATATACTATTCCTATAAACTTTTTATGTATCTTTTGAAACAATTGCTTAAGGCTTAGTTTCGAACGTTGTTTTACATATATTTAAACCATCTAAAAATGTTAAGAAATATTTTTTAATTGTGTAAAATTTTTCACATGTCAACTGAGAAGACTTAGAAGTTCTACTGCCTTAGCTATAGTTACTCCTTTAAAATCAGCTTCTTGTTTTATAGTTCTGTTCTAAATTCCAGAACTGTTTGATAGGGTAATATAAGGCAAGTAGATTTTTCCTTACATCGTTCTCACCTCATAGAGGTTTGAATTTATCTCCAGTATACATTAGATGGTCCTACAGTCAGTATTCCTCATGTCAGTGTGAGGGCCGTGTACGCTGTTTTAGGAAGGTTGTATTTAAAGTGCATTACAGAAAATGATTTGACTTTAGAATAAATTATTCTAAAATCTAGGGTCAAATTATTGAGTTCCCAGACATATGGTATCATATATATATAATATTTTATGAGCGTGTTTTATACAATTAATGTAATTAACAGACATGAAAGCTATGTCTTCCAGGTTGCACTCAGAAATTTTGGTCCTGCTTTTTGTTTGATGGTTTCAGATTGGTTGGCAGAAGTACGGATGCGTGTTTTTACAATATGATTAGACCTTGGCTTCCTCAGTGAAAGAATACAGTCTATGACAATAGTTTACTAAAAAAGCCAAAGTTATTTCCTTATCATTTGTTAATTAGCAGAAAATGACTTCATAAGTTAATATGTGATTTCATATTATAGAGTACTGTGTGGAAGTTTCTTATTAATTCCCACACATTTTTAAAAAGAAGCTTTTAAAAAATGATGGGAAGATCGTAGAATTTTACAATGAATTAAAAAAGTCATATTCACCATTAATTATAAAGGACCTTGTAGCATTATGAATAGAGGAAGGCATTTAAAGGGAGGGGCGTTTGGGGAGGATCCGAGCTGGCTTTGCTGTAGCATGTGACTGCAGGTGGGCAGGGCTGGGCTGCCCACGAGCAGGAGTTCACAGCAGGAACCACAGTCAGTGCTGTGTGGCAATATAGTTGCCCCTTCTCCAGAGAGCAGGGCGCTTTCTTGTTGAGAGAGGGTATATAGGGTGAAGGTATTGAGAGTTTTTCTTTCTAAAACAAGCAAACAATTTCAATTACCACTATTTTGTTATCATTACCCTTTAGTTAGTTCACGTCCTCCACCATGAAAATAGTTTCATCTGTGGATTAATCTGAATGTCTCAAACTTTTTCAGATTGGGAAAGAGGTTGGTGATTTGTCCCCTCCAGCAAATGCTTTTATCCCTAAGGTCAGAAGCAATTGCCAGACAAATGTCATTGAGATCATAGAACTGATATCTTCATTTTTCTAACCTTGATATTGATTACAATGACAAGATGATAATGACAAAAACCTTTTCTATATAATTACCAAGTACTGCTGGGTAACTATCTAATATTTTATTTAAATTACAGATTCTATTTTTGGACAAATAAGCTTTGTTTTCTCTGCTCAGGATGTAAATGATAAAGCTTTTCTTATAATATAACAGGTTTTCAGTATACGTAAGCAAATTTGTAAAAGAGACAATTTAAGAACACATCATAGTCATTAGTACTCACTTAATATTTATAAATGTAGAGTTGAAAGTTTGTCATTTTATGATATAGCTTCATTAAGTTGGGATGTTTTTATTTCTTTAATATACCTGTTTTTATTAGGTAGCTAACCATAGGAGACTTAATCATGATTTCATAGTTTGAAAGAATACCAATATTTAAAAGGTGAAACCAAGTATGATAGAAAGAGCCCCCCTGAACTCATGCATTTGTTTATGCTTTGGAAATACTTCTGTTGCTATTCATCTCTTTCTTATCTGCTGGTACAAGAGAGGGCATGCAAATGCCATCCGTTATTTCCAAGACGTTGAGGAAATCAGCCGTGACATGCCAGGGAAGCTTTGATTTGCCACCTGTTGTACTCGGGGAATGGTTGGAAACTTAATGAGCACCCAGATGCCTTCCATGCAGCTCTCAGGAAATGAGCAAAGTGCCTAAATACAGACAGCAGACTCATCTATCACCTCAGAGTCCCACTCAGAGAAAAGTGCTAATACCTTAGGCATACATAATAAAAGTCACTAAGAACAGGCATAACTTAATTTCAAATTACTCTTAAGCTTCCTGCACAAATACTGGAAAGTCCTCTCACCATGTGGAAGACATTTGGAATTCCCGTTTCATGCATTCATGGTTCATTGAGTGTGGAGATGTTCAACTGGGAAAATTAAATTATGCACAATGTACCATGCAGACATTGATCTTCTGGAATAAGATTTGAGCTCAGAAAATTATTTTTATAAACAAGACTGCAAATATATTTTTCAAGGGCAAAACTTATAGCTAGCTTTTCTGGTATCACATAAAAGGGTAAGATTCAAAGTTCCAGTTTTAAAAAATTTTTTTCTCTCCACAGTTATTTTGGAAAATGTAAATACATTACTTAGCCCTGTTATTATGATTGTGTGTCCCTGGTAATGAAGGAGTACAGGGCAGGCAACCAGAGCCCCGACTGCAGAGCCAGGTCACCAGTCTGCAGATCCTGGTCCTGCCACCCCCCTCCCCACCAGTTCGTGAATCTGTGTCACCATGTTTTCTTATGAAATGAGAATCATCATTAGACAGAACTCAGAGGGTTGTTGTGAGGGAAAAATGAATTAATATGTGTGTAGCTCCTAAAATATTGCCATATATTAAATGCTGTATACATTTTAGCTATTGTTATTTCTTCCTTTTAGACCAGCTCAGAATATTAGAAACATTGGTTACATACCTATTCTACATCTTGTCTTTCCTCATGTGAGTAATTTTAGCCTAAAGAACATAAAGCCAAGTTAATGGATGTAAATTCTGCAAACTCCTGTTCAGCAATAGGTGAATGTTATCTATAAGAGCAGTCAGATAACGAAGTTCTCTCAGAACATGACCTCACACTATTCCCCTTTTCCTGTCACTGAAATCTGTTCTAGAAACAAAAGATGGGGACATAATGTTCTGGGCGTAAGACATGGCACTAAGTTCTTCCCAATGCTGTTCACATGAAAAGCAAAATGAAAACTTGACAATTCAGTGAAGAAATTCTCTAGGCCTTGGTCATGGTATTGTCTAGCCCAAGACATTTTTTACAAATTTTAATTTTTAATGCTTGTTTTTCTCCTTTTAACATAGACTACCAGTTTATCTCATTTTCAGAAGATAAGTTGAAAAAATTATATAATACAGTAAAATTAATACAGTACATATACATACTGCAGTAAAAATTACATCAAATTACTTAAATGACAAAGAAGTTTTTGTAGTGTTTTCCCTCAAAGCTTGATATTTTTGCTCTGGCTTCCCCATTAATGAAAATTTTACCTTTAGATCAAGAACTTGAGGACTGAGATATTATGAGACAGTAACTAACTCTTTATTACACATTACATGAAATCATCTTTGACACTAAATCATATAAAGTCTAACTTTTACAGGTGGTGGGAACATTTACTTTGGCATCCTTAGGATTAAATGTAGTGCTCAGTAATCTAACAGAAACTAAATGTTTCTAAATCTGCTGGAGACGAGGTTCCTTCTTCAGAAACATCAAATCACATTTTAAAAATAGCAGAGGAAAGTTTTGGGAAGTAACATAGGATATGAAATGAATTCCTAAAAGAAAAAAACAGGAAGAAATACTGGTTAAAAGGATAACATTGTATTATTGTTTCTTATAATTATTTGCTGCTCACACAAAGTGTGTGAGTTGTTGAATAATTTAAAAGCCCAATTAGGAAACTCGTACAACCAGAAATCAGAGATTTTTAGAAGCCAGAATAAAACCTCCAATAAATATACCAAATGTACTTTCATGATGTAATCTTATTAAGAAGAAAAGTCAGAAAGGTATGTTTTCTGGGTTTTAAATAAACCGGCTATGGTAGTTCATTTTCATCATAGCCACCAAGATGTTTTAATTTATACTCAAATTTGATCCTTAAGGAAAATTAAGTGTTTTGAGGATAGGCTCTACTTTTTCATTTTCTTCCCCTCAATAATTTTACAAATCAATCATTACCAAAATTGGCTGCCTGGAGTTTCTTATTACAACAAATGTTCTTGCTGTAATCCTCAAAAGTAGGCATCATGCTGACTTGAATTCTAATTAGCCTTTAAGCAAGAAGAATATTGTGTGGCTAATGCATTCAGTGTCAAGTCACATTAATCAAAATTATTGGTGATTCTTTTTGCACCCAGGCAAACCAGCACATATTTTTTGAGTCCTGTGGTACTGCTTTGGGGGGGGGGCGAGCAATTAAAATTCAATCTGCTCGTGGGTAATAAATATCATGGAAAAACATAACTTAGTTTAAGCTGGTATATTAAAGGGTTTTTTTAAGACAGGTTAAAAATGATATCTTTTACTTCTTTAATTGATAATGACTTATAAAAA